TGCTTTATTGTTGAAAAAAAAAAAAAATCCCAAAAAGATTTTCTTAGTATGGTTTTGCAAGCTTGAATTTTTTGAGTGGTCCTTGGTGCATATTGGAATTGATGAGAATATCCATTACATGTTAATATATGTGTGCTTTCTGTGATCATTACTTATTTTGGAGTGCGTGTTTTTTGATTAGTATGTCTCATTCTGTACACACTCTTGGATTAGCAAATTTTGGAGTCTTCCGCCTTAGTGATTTTTTTTCTCTATGGACTTCTGTCATTGATCTTTTGCGTTTCTAGAGTAATTGACTTATACTAACATATCATGGGTGATGTTGAATCTCTTAACCACCTACTATCTTTTTGCATCTCCATGGCTTTCCCCTCTATTCTTTGTAGTCCAGCCATGAGGAAAAGGCTACCTCAGAGTCACCAACCAGGCCATCCTTATTATATCCATGCTTCTTTGGTTCGGTTTCCATACTCTTGAGCGTGTCAGCCGCCAATGAGTGTGAAAAAGAAAAATAAAGAGTAGAAGAAAAAATGTGCAAAAGAAAAAAAAAATGCGCAAAAGAAAGAAAAAAAAAATCATTGATTGAGGGGGAGCCTTCGTCTTTACTCACCAAATACCCCTTGATTCCTAGTGGTTTGACTTTCCTTTGTTGTGCTTAGATTCTCTTGCCAGAGGTCCAACTTTCAGATCACTACTAGGATTGAATCTAGTGTTTGTCGAACTCCAAGAGTCACACACACATTTTTATCATGGGATCTATGCTTTTCACATAATGCATCACTTTCTTTCATGAGGAATTTTCTACAGACTGTGCACATTGTGTTTATTAGTAATTGTGCTTCTTGGATAGTCTTGTGTGTTTTAAGGTACTAATATGAAATTTATTGCTTGCTCCACCATATTATTTTTGTCATTTTTTTCTTGTTCACTGTTTTCAATGTTTGTGGTTGCTTTTAGTGAGGGGGAGTTTGGTTCATCTTGACTTGGGTTGGTTTATGATCTTGCTTTTGTTATTTGAGAGTTGTTTTTCATGAGTCTTAGTTTTCATCAATTCATGTTTTCCATCTCATGTTTCAAGATAATCGTGTCATATGTCTATTGCTTTTTCATATACTCTTATGGGATTAATAGTCATGTTGGAGATTGTGGTACTAATAACTATTTTGCAGATCAAGACCTTGAGAAAGAAGTTGGATTTTGTTGGCTGTAATGGGTTGGGGTGTTTAGGATTTTATTTGTTAGGTGTGTTTTGTCACGGCATTGCCAAAGGGGGAGATTGTTAGGTTTTATTCTTGGCAACCTCGTTTGACAAAACTCCTTTCAGTTGTATTTATTTTCGCACCTTTTATTTCAGTGAGGCTATGAGTTTATTAGATGCGAATCCAACCCGAATCGTGCCTTTGTCAATTTTCATGGATCAAAACTGAGGTTGTAATAGGATCAGGTTTTTCAGATTTTTCAATTTTGGTTGTCCCGCGTGAGCGGGGAAAGTGACATTCGAGCGCGGATTGCAAGCTCACAGCATCTCTGTTTCGCCTTAAAAAGTACTGGATGGTGTGATTCGACGCTCGAGCGTGGAAACTTTCGCTCGAGCGTGAAGCCTATATGAATCACACAATTTTGAAGTCTCCGCTCGAACGGGAATTCCCACGCTCGAGCAGACCGCGCGAACACAGATTCTTGGATTTCTATAAGGAATTGGTTTTCTTCCAAAACTATGATTACTTTGGATTTCTATAAGTAGTTGGTTTTCTCCCAAAACTTTACCAACTTCTCCAGATCTTCTTCTTGGGTTCTAAGGTTTATATCTGGGGATTTTTTGCTAGTTTTCTTTGATGTTTTCATTGAGTATTCAACTCATGGTTTAAGAAGCATACATCAAAGGTTTGTTTGTTTATTCTACACAAAAGAGAAAGTTGTTCTTCGGTGGATTCTGAAGAATTCGAGCCTGAAGCTTTGGTGGATTCCGGAGTGGCTCATTGTCAAGACAATTCCGAGGTGAAGACGGGGTTGGAAGAGGCACATAGAGGTTGGTTCAATTCGGGCGTGGATTCGCTAGGTAATTGAGAGTATACCTGTGTAATTCTTTTATATCTTCTTAATGGATTATTTTGTGGCTGTTACCCGTGATTTTTTATCACAATTGGAGGTGTCCAATTGTGGTTTTTCCACGTAAAATCGTTGTGTCGATTTGTCTTGATTGTTTGATTGGGATTGTTATATATTGCTTAAAATTGATACATAATCACAAATCAACATCTAGGGGATTTCTAAATTTTTTACTTATTATATAGATGATCTAAATAAATAAACTTTTTGAATTTTTATAAAAATATTTACAAAAAGAAGAAGATAATAATATAACCCAAAAAAATAAAAAAATAAACAGTGTGTTTATATAGCACACCCCCAAACAATCTTTTATAGCACGCGTCAGGATCCTCTGGGGTATAAATCCTACAGTGATCTCCTAGAGTGGAAGATCCAATGGCTAAAAATAAAACTCACCAAAACGACGTCATTTTGGTGAGAAAGTTGAAAAAAAAAAAAAAAAAAACAAACAAAAACAAAAACAAAAACAAAAACAAAAACAACGAGAGAGAAGAGGATCACAAACTTTGCCATGGCTGGGTTTTCAAATTTCTGAGTTTTACTTCCCTCACCCCTTCATCTTCCCTCTCCTCTTCGCCGCCTCGCCGCCACCGGACACCGCCGATTCATAGTGGTTACAACTCTTGCCTCTAATACTGTCAATATCTCATCTGGGTGATAGCTACAATATACATGAGAGTTTTCCTTCCAGAGTCGATTACAGACGATGATGACTGCATTTTTTGCTAAGGAAGAAGCAAAACCTAGCCTTTTAGATAAAGATGAAGATTCCAAAAACAATTTCAAAATATTCAAGACAATGCCTTCCTTTGATGATACTGTCTCCTTGTTAAGAAGCAAGTAATGGAGTCAAATAAATATCTATGTGATCTTTGTGGCATTACTTTGTATAATTAAGGTTCAGGCTCTGCTTGTTTGTTTCTTGGGAACTCTGAGATTAATCTTACATGCCTATGTCTTTTGTTCTTTATTGTTTTAATTTTGTAGCCTTGGTGTTTGTTATTTGTTCTCACAGAGAATCATTCCCAGATTAAAGCAAAACTCTCTCTATATATATAAATCAAAACAAACAAATATACAAACGATTTTATCAACAAAAAAAAAATTAAAATCACAGAAATGGGTTTAATGTGGGTGTAATCAGAGAAGAAGAATTGCTTTGTAGTTTTTAGAGAAGAAGAATGAGGGAATTTGCATCATCATCAAGTGCAGAAATTATAAAAAAAAATATACTTTACTCAAATCCTTATATGACCACTCATCAAGTGCTCGCGGGTGAAGAACATAGGTGACGATCAGTTGGTTCAATTCGGGCGTGGATTCGCTAGGTAATTGAGAGTATACCTGTGTAATTCCTTTATATCTTCTTAGTGGATTGTTTTGTGGCTGTTGCCCGTGATTTTTTATCACAATTGGAGGTGTCCAATTGTGGTTTTTTCACGTAAAATCGTTGTGTCGATTTGTCTTGATTGTTTGATTGGGATTGTTATATATTGCTTAAAATTGATACATAATCACAAATTAACATCTAAGGAATTTCTAAATTTTTCACTTATTATATAGATGATCTAAATAAATAAACCTTTTGAATTTTTATAAAAATATTTACAAAAAAAAGAAGAAGATAATATAACCCAAAAAAATAAAAAAAATAAACAGTGTGTTTATATAGCACACCCCCAAACAATCTTTTATAGCACGCGTCAGGATTCTCTGGGGTATAAATCCTACAGTGATCTCCTAGAGTGGAAGATCCAATGGCTAAAAATAAAACTCACCAAAACGACGTCGTTTTGGTGAGAAAGTTGAAAAGAAAAAAAAAACAAAAACAAAAACAAAAACAAAAACAAAAACAAAAACAAAGAGAGAGACAAGAAGAGAGAGAGAAGAGGATCCCCAAACTCTGTCATGGCTGGGTTTTCGCATTTTTGAGTTTTACTTCCCTTACCCTTTCATCTTCCCTCTCCTCTTCTTCATTCTCTATTCGGTGATCGTCACCTACGTTCTTTACTGACGAGCACTTGATGAGTGGTCATATAAGGATTTGAGTAAAGTATATTTTTTTTTATAATTTCTACACTTGATGATGATGCAAATCCCCTCCTTTTTCTTCTCTAAAAACTACAAAGCAATTCTTCTTCTCTGATTACACCCACATTAAACCCACTTCTGTGATTTAAAAAAAAAATTTTGTTGATAAAATCGTTTGTATATTTGTTTGTTTTGATTTATATATATAGAGAGTTTTGCTTTAATCTGGGAATGATTCTCTGTGAGAACAAATAACAAACACCAAGGCTACAAAATCAAAACAATAAAGAACAAAAGACATAGACACGTAAGATTAATCTCAGATTTCCCAAGAAACAAACAAGCAAAGCCTGAACCTTAATTATACAAAGTAATGCCACAAAGATCACATAGATATTTATTTGACTCCATTACTTGCTTCTTAACAAGGAGACAGTATCATCAATGGAAGGCATTGTCTTGAATATTTTGAAATTGTTTTTGGAATCTTCATTTTTATCTAAAAGGCTAAGTTTTGCTTATTCCTTAGCAAAAACGCAGCCATCATCGTCTGTAATCGACTCCAGAAGGAAAACTCTCATGTATGTTGTAGCTATCACCCAGATGAGATATTGACAATAGTAGAGGTAAGAGTTGTAGCCAATATGAATCGGCGGTGTCCGGTGGCGGCGGGACGGCGAAGAGGAAAGGGAAGATGAGGGGGTGAGGGAAGTAAAACTCATAAATTTGAAAACTCAGCCATGGAAGAGTTTGGGGAGCCTCTTCTCTCTCTCTCTTTGTTTTTGTTTTATGTGTTTTTTTTCAACTTACTCACCAAAATGACGTTTTGACGAGTTTTATTTTCAGCCGTTTGATCTTCCCCTCTAATGGATCGCCGTAGGATTTATACCCAAAGGATCCTGACGCTTATAGCACACCCCCAAACAATCTTTTAATAATAATAATAATACACGAAATAAATTGTGTCTTCCGAACCCCGTTCAACGATAATCAAAAGGCGGCAAATCAAAGGTAAGATCAACATTCTGTAATACACCCTTCAATTTGCCCATTTTAGTCTAAAATTCTTGTATAACTTGTTGTCACAAGCTGGCTCAATTTCAATTTCTTTGCTCACTTTGTTTTACAGATTTGAAAACGATGAACTGGGTTCAACGCAAGATCTATCTTTACAACGTCACCTTTGGACTCTACATGTTAGACTGGTGGGAGCGTTTTCTCTTCAGTATCCTCCTCTTGAATTGATTTGCTCATTCCCCCATTTACTTATTTTTTTATCTAAATCTAGGGTTCAGTCTGCAACTTTGGTCTATAGAAGCTTAGCAGATATATACAATGGAAAACTATACAGATCAATTGGTTCCGTAACAATTGAAATTGATTTTTTGAATTATTATTATTTCTTCCCCTTCTTTTGTGTGTGTGTGTGTTCATGTTTTGTGGAATTTCAAATTAAAGAGTAGCATTTTGGCTTGAAGTTTGGTGATTGTGAACTCTTAACGATCATAGACACTCTGGTGGTTGTGTTGATGTGGTTCGTTTGCTACAATGGGTTTCGAAATGCCTCTGAGTTCTGCAAAAGGTGATGCACTCTGGTGGTTTTGCCTTTTTTTTTTTTGAAAATCGAATGTTTCATTTCCTTACTTAATATTGTCGTCTTCTTTTTTTATTTTTATTTTGCTGCTAAGTAAGATTATCTATCTATCTATTATATAATTATATAAGTCACTCACACAACTCATTGGAAGCCTCTATTTTCACGCATTGAATCAGTACACATCTTCTCTAAATACAAACATTAATTTTTTTTGAAATTTGACATTTTGCTTAATACACAACCCACCAACATGTAAAAAATACACCATCTTCTTCAATCTTCAAACCCTAAACCCCTAATTTTTAACCACCGGTGGCTAGCCACCTGATGTCATCACTAGCCTCTTTCCCCTAGCACCCCAACCCCTCCCCCACCACCTGCCACCATCATAGTCCAACCAGCCACACTGCAAACCACACCATTGCAAAGCTCATCCCCACAAACCCTCCCACCCCCACCACTGGCAGCTACCATTGCAACAACCATCACCACCATCGTCGGAACACTCTGTGTGTATGTGTGTGTGTGTGTGTGTGTGAGAGAGAGAGAGACTGGATTATTGCTTTTTGGAATACCAAACTGGAATGCTTAACCTTTGTAATTTGATTAAGGGATAAAATAATAATTTTTAAAAAAAAAAAATATATGTGAACTCAGGGTTATTGGTGATAGAAGCTCCCCAACTCATTAGGTTTGAAGCTTTGTCACACAATTTTAGTTCCTAAATAACAGCAACAACATTAGATAGCGTTTAGTTTAATTTTTAAAACTCAATTCTGTTTTCAAATCATGATTTGAATCAAAATTTATAACCAAACAAATTTTTAAAATACAATTCAAAATTACTTTCAAAACTCCTTTCTTCTTCTTTGTTATTATTATTATTATTAATCAATCAATTAATCACTTTTTCTCTCTCATCTCTCCTCTCTTCTTTCACCTCTCACCTCTCACCTCTCACATTTTATACATCAATCAATCAAAAAAAAAAGAGTACAAATCAATCAAAAACTATTTTCATAACTCATAATCAAACAAATTTTCTCTTTTCAAATCATAATTCAAAAACTCAAAACTCAAAACACAACTCTACATTCAAATCATAATTCTAAAACTAAACCAAACGGATCTTTAGATTTTCCCATATATTTATCTTTACATAGCAGTTAAGTTACTGTAAGGACCAAAAGGTAAGACCAACCAACCAAAAGCTATTGTTAAGTTTCCACTAGGCTTTCTCCACTCTCACCCACTATCTCTTCAATTGCACACGTTGGTTTGCATAAACTTCTAATATTGAAGTATGGCCACCGTTGTCATTATGATCATTAGATTATCGACATCATTATTTAATTTTTGTTTGTTTGTTTGTTTTTTTTTATGATGTAAAAACACCGACAAGTTCTGCCTCAAATACCATTTCAGTTGACTTGCCATCATCATCCCTATTGCTTCATTTTCCAAGCACCTTCATCAGTTATCCTCCCCATCCCCTCATTAAGTATCTTTTCTAGATCCTCTGTCACCCAAAACGCATGCATATATGTACTGAAAGGAGCTGCATAATGTGTGTGTGTGTTGGGAGGGGGGGTGGTGGTTTGTGACAATATGAATCCTCTACAGCCTTTCTGCACTGTCAGAGGTCACATACATTCTACTTTATATCATAAATAATAGTATTTTTGGAAAGAAAAAATCCTACCATCTAGTGACGAATGACAGAGCTGGCTGTCCAACCACATATTTTTTAAAGTCTGTAAAACAATTTTCATAATCCAGTGCCTGGAAATAGCTAATCAGCTGGCTTCCTTTTTTGCATTCATATTAATATACCTGATTTAAATGACTCAAATGTGTTTTTTTACCGATTTCCTTTTCTTATGTGCAATTTTGAAACGAAGATGGAGTTTTTAAAATTTTGGATTCTCCTCTTATATAAACATATTCACATCTCATAGCGACAGTTTGTAGATTAAATGGACAATATGGGATTCAGTTTTTAATAGGATTCAGGACCTCACATGGTAAGTGTTGTTTTGATATGCTACTGCCTATTTCCTTTTTTGGGAAACTGATTCATGAAATCTCATCGAGTGCAGGGCTTATTCGAATCTGTTTTAATCTACCAGGTTTATATTTTAGGAATTATTAATCCAATAATTTGAGAATAGGCAATCACTTGTTGGACTGAGAATGAGTCATAAATGGTAGTATCATAACACACCACAGTGGCTGCTGCTATTATAGAGGGCATATTCTTATTGTACAGATAACTTTATTTGTTTGACCCTTCCATGTTTTCCACAATTTTCAAGCTAGATTTTTCTGCAAGCCTAGTTCCATCACCCTGTATTTTCCCCTCCAATATATTATGCTTTGAATTAGGGAAACAGTTATAATGCCCTTTTTAAAGGGTAGGCACACAGGTTAAAGAATTGCACAATTATTGACCACACGTGATTATACAGAAAGTGATAATATACTTTATATATGATAGTTAAAAATAGATTAATAGCTGGTTTTCCTCGGAAATAGTAAAGTGTTTAGAAGCTTGATGATGAAAGATATCTAATTTGATTGGTTTGAAATCAAAACTGAAGGAAAAACAAGAACATCTATATGATATTTGTCATTTTTTTACTTCAGGAAAAAAAATCATTTTTGTTGTTCTTGCAGAGTCTCTTTACAAGTCCTTAGTGGAGAACTATGTAATAATGATAAGAGATATGGTCACAAAGAGCCTGTAAGTTACAATGATTTAGTGAATATTTCACTTTTGAAGTTTTGATGGATGTGGATAAGAAACAGGTCATAGAGAACTTAATAAGAACAAGTAGCAATACGGATGACAATGAGCATTCTTAGGAGTAGGACATTATATCTGGTGAGAAGATATATTACGTATAGAAGTTATGACAATGAGCATTCTGGTCTTCCTTGAAACAAGGGTTTATAACTGGAAGTAGGTAGGATTCAATGTTTTCTGTTCTTAGCAGAAGACTTATGTTTCAAATAATCAGCATCATGAACTTGAATGCAAGGCATAGGAATTCATAAATAAATAATAAGATGAGTATTTATGTTGTTAATTTAAAGTAGAATCCATAAAATTCAAGAAGTATATAGCGGAGGAGTTTAGCTATGTGGAAATAAACATATGTGGTCACTTTTTGTAGTCGTTTCTGCTTTGTCTGTCTTCTTAACTCGGGTAGCCATTTGGATGGATTTTTGTCACCATTGTTTATTTGTATGACGAGTTGGTTGTCATTGCTTCATGGTTTTCATACTTATATGAGTTTATATTTAATTACCATTGTCCATCTAGATGTGATCTCTTGTAATGTAGAGGCATTCCTAGCAACATAATATCGGCATTTTCTATAGGGGCTCTTGAAATTACTTGTTAGTTTCTTTCCTAATGGAATGGCAGCTTAAAGAGTTGATGTTCGTTGTCTGTAATTTTCCCAATCTGTTTAGAATAAATGCATAATCTGTTGCTGCTTTCTGCCTTACTGGTGGCTGATTGGGGGTCTACCTTTGATCTTTTCAGGAATTTATGGCGACTTCAGGACTCGTAGGAACTCCAAATCCTTATTATGGCTAGGTAGTTGTAGTTTGGATTGTACTGCTTTACTTTTGATTGTTTCCATGTTTGTCAATTTTATCTTTTCTCTTCTGTAATGTAAGCTCGCAAAAAGTTTTCAATATTTTATAATAGTGATTTGTTTGTTTTCTCTTTGGTCTTAAAGTTATCTATTCATGGTATATCAACTTTACTTAAAAAAAAAGAAAACACATAAAAAGTATCTATTGATGGTGCTTTGTCTGCTTTCTTGACAATTTAGAGAACGATAAATTAATAATGACACCATAGTCGCGCATACAAACTTGTAAATACATTCATATAAGCATCTAACTGGCCTGATAAATTATCTATCGTTATCAGGTGGGCTTTGTTTAGTTACTTAATGGAAGAGTTGGAAATTTAGTAAAAGTATCATTAGTTTGAAAGGGAAAAGGACAAAAAAAAAAAAAAACATTAGTTTGGAGAGTGTTCAAACATCTTTGAATCAAGTTGATCTATTTGTGCAAAGTTTTAAATAATCAAAATCAAGAGGCAGCTTAACTTCCGAGCAAAGTGAAGCTTATACATGTAGATTCTTCATTACAAGAGGTAAAGAAGCCTTATGGTTTGTCATCGCACTGTAAATTCCACATGTTGAAAGATATTGTCTCTAGCAACTTCCCATTTATAGGACATGACAGATTGTTGAAACCTTTTTTTCCCTTCTATATGTTAAACCGAGTTATTATAGATGGATGATGCTATTACCTGCATGTCCACAGAGAGATGCAGAATAGGAACTTGAGAAGATATTCAAAGTGCCCTATCCTGATGCTTAATCAAGTAGCATGTTTTTTTAGTTTTTGCAGAAGTTGGTTTCAGCCTCCAGGAGAAAAATCTTATTTATTAATAATTGTGTAACAGTCCTCCAACTTCTTGTAATTTGAGTTTAGAAGACGGAATTTTGTTTGGATGACAGTTTCAAATTGTAGGTTACTATCTTAGTTGAGTTCATTCCAGTAGTAGATACACTTATGCTGTGTTTGGTTAGAGGATTTGAAGAGAGATTTGAAAAGGGAAAGGGAAAAGGTGTGTGAAACTATGTGAAATATAAACATGTTTTATTCACATTTCATCTACCTTTTTCATTTTTCGTTCCAAATCCCTCTCTAAATCTCTCAACCAAACACAGCATTAATTCACTTAATCATAGCCAACTTGACTCTTAGTGGTAGATCACATGGATGCGTCCTTTTCTTGTCTTGTCATAAATTTCTTTCTCAACACTTTCAAGCACATAGTGGCTAAATAAATAGTTCTTCTGATCTTATCCTTAGGATCCATAATTGAACTTTTTATTTTACTGTTACCATTTCACTTTTGCATTTTTTCCCCCCTTTTCCCTTTTCCCTCCATTTGTGTTAGGGAGGGAAACCTCAAATAAGATAAACCATCAATAGGTCTTAATAATTGTATTTAATTCCTATAAAGTAGTATTGAAAATAAGGCCTAGCACAATCGTCGTTAAAAATATTTTTATGTGACGATTTTTTGTATATGTCGCTAAAAATTGATAATTAGTAACTTTTTTTTTTATCATGGCTTTTATAAATTGTCACCAAAACTTACAATTAGTGACTTTTTGTGACAATTTTTTAAACGGTCGTTGAAAGTTGAAAATTAGTGACTTTTTTTGTGACGATTTTTTTAAACTGTCACTAAAATTTATAATTAGTGACTTTTTGTGATAAAATTTTTAATCTGTTGCTGAAAATAAACAATTAGCGACATTTTTTAATAGTGTATGATGAAAAATGTCATTAATTATTATAGGATCTATTCACTTAGTAGGACCTATCTGTAAGTCTCCCAAACAAATATTGGTTGCAACATTGTGTCAACGGACAATTGGAAGGACTAACTTATTAGGTTGGGGTGGGAGTCTTTCACTTAACCCAAAGTGATCCTCATCTGATCTCATATAAAGTTAGTTGCAAAGTTAGTTGTGGTGTCACTATGGTGCTCAATATTACTCAGGGAAAGGAAGAGTGTAAAAAAACAGAGAACTGAGGAGGAATTTTATGGTGCACAGCCCCTTATCATAAGAAAAACTATGAGATTTTATAGTATTAGTTATGAATTACTATGGTGTAGTTAGTGTTAGTTATGAGGTTTTATGTTTTTGTTATGAGTATTGTGATTTGTTTGTTGCAAGGTTTTGTGTTGTTTTTTTCTTTTGATTTTTCGTGGTGTTTAGTTGCGAATTACAAAATTATGTACTGTATATTTTGTAGGGTGCACATTATGATATAGTTATGAAGGTGTATCGTTTCTTAAGGTTTATACTGTAGTCTTTTCCAAGAAAAAAAGGCACACTATTAGAAAGTATTTATGATGCAATCACAGGTACTACTTTGTGGGCTTGATAATCCTTATGAATGAGGAATCGCAAAATAGGATTTTCTGTAATCAAGGAGGATTCTGCTTCTCGCCAAAATACCGCAAGTGGGTCATCTTTTATTGTTTAACTATGATGGGTTAGTATTGTCTCACCAATAGATTTTTTAGGAATATCACATAAATTATGTATGGTAATATATTTTATTTTGACCAGGCATTTGGTCCAGTGGTTATGTTACATCATTTGTGGTGTTAGGTCTCATATTTAACTCTTATGGAAAAGAGTTTGATAAACTCCTATTACGGGGTTGTTGGGTTTGGGCTTGGGTTTGGTGAATTTATTAATGGGGAACTTACCAATAAGTCTTATATACAAAGTTCAAGACCCATCTAATCCTCAAACAAAACACTTGTACCAATTAATCCTATACATTTTTAATTGTTATAAAAAAATCTTATTATTATTATTTTTTAAATTTACAAATACTGTTACATCTTACTACCGTCGAACTTCCGTCAAAACGGTCACTGGAGATTCATTGGAATGTTCAACATCACCGGGAAATCGCCGGAGTATCACTGGAAGTTCACCGGAGTGTTAAGAACGTTAATGGAAGTCGTCGGAATGTTCAGAATGTTCACTGGACGTTAAGAACATCACTGAAGACTCACTGGAATGTCTAGAATATTGCTGAAAAAAAAAAAGAATAAATGGAGAAATTAGAGCAAAAAAACATAGCAAAGTATGCTAAATATTGACAAACTAAAAGAAAAAAAAAAAATGAAACGACAAAAAACATCAATGGAAAAAACATGTATTATTTTTCAATTTTTGTAAGGTTTAAGCAAATAATCTCTAATATTGATCAAACTGAAAAGTAAGATTTGAAACTGTAAAATGTTGCAGTTTCAAAGCAAAAATCTATTAAGCATTTATCCTTATTAATCAAACTGAAAAACATGTTATGAAACTGTAAAATTTTACAGTTTTATACCATGATTCATTCCAGTACCAAAAAAATTTGAAACTGTAAAATTTTACAGTTTTTACTGCCTGTAACTAAAACCCAAAAACAACTTGTTCAAAATTTGAAAATTTTCTCCATTAGAACAGAAAAAGAGAAGTGTATAGCAGAGAAAATGTAGAAAAAAAAAGATCGAAGGAGAAAGACGGATATAAATAGAGGATTATACTCCGACAACTATTTTTTGTTTAGATCTAGCCAAATCTGATGTAGATCTACTCAGTTCTGATGTAGATCTACATCAGATCTAAGTAGATCTACTCATATTCTTCGTCGGAAACATATCTTCTTTATCGTCGGTGAGGGTGAAGTAAAGAGTCGGCGGTCAGTGGTTGTCGGTGAATCCCAATCGATGGTAGTCGTCAGTCGTCGGTGACTATATATCGAAAAGAGAAAGAGAATAAACAAGATAAGGTTACCCATCAACGATCGCCGGAAATCACAAAGAGTAAAAGAGGTAGAGAAGAAGAGAGGCAGAGAAGAAGAATAACGTTATAAGACTTTTGAGTATCAACAAAAGTTTATGGGACTAAGTAGACTACATATTTTTCAAAAAAGACTTCTCGATAATTTTTCCTTTATTAATAATAGATTTTTAGGTAAGCTTTGTTCACTTACTAGTATGATATGTTAGTGGTCTGTTTGATATTATAACATTTTTCAATTTATTGTGGGTTTGTAATTACTCCTCAATTAATTGACAAAAATATAAAAATACTATCTGAAGCAATAAGAAATTAATGAGGCTGAGTGTATAAATGTGAACTCAATATAATATTATGATCTTTCTTACAAAATTTGCTTTCTACTCCACATATTATATGTCCTATGTCTAGGGGTGAACAACGGATATACCGATTCGTTAAAATCGACCGAATCCAACCGATCCGCTGCATTTTGGACGGATGCGTGATAACGAGCGGACGGTTGCGGATTGATTTTTTCCAATCCGTCAATTTGGCGGACGGATGGCGGATTTGAAGTTCCTTTGGTCGCAACCGAACCGCCAAACCCGAGCATCCTTAGTAATTTTTAAGACTTTGTGTTTTCAATTTGTTTAAATATTTTGTTTGTGTTTTCAATTGAAAAAGAGTTCAAATATTTTGTTGAAAAAAAAAATTCAACTTGAATATATTTTTTGAATTGAAAAAAATAAACGTATTATTTATCTATATTTTTTGATTTTTTAATCTAACTCTAAAAGTAATAAATAGAAAATATGATATATGCTGGTTGATTTTTGTTTTCAAAAACATATATAAATGTAACAATACAGAGACATACAATCTTTACTATTGCTCTGTTCATGATTTTGGTGGTTTGAATTGTTTTTATATTTTAAGAACCATAGATTGTAATACTTTATGTGGGTGAGGCATGCTGTGATTGTAACATGTGGATGAGACATGCAGTGATTGTGATAATCTAAAGTTTCAAACTTTCTTTATTTGGATGAGGCATGTAGTAATTGTAATACTTTTTAAGTCATTGACTTAATACTTTTTTTTTTTTTTAGGAAGTTTACAAGTTGAACTATATTGAAAATTTATAAAATTTTAAACCGCCAAACCGATTCGCATCCATCCGTCAAATCGCCAATCCGCTCAATCCATATCTGCCGGATTAGCGGACGGATGCGGATTGATTTTCTCAAATCTGCCAATCTGGCAAACGGATGACAGATTAAAAGTTTTGTAACCGCAACCGATCCACGCCAACTCCTAGCTATGTCTATCTAATTGTTCCACTTTCTGATCTGTGGTCAATATTGTCATCCAGTGGTCTAAATGAACACAATGGTTGTAAATCTTTCCTTCCTTAATGCTTGGTATTGTTTTGGCCTTTTTGTTTCTTAAAAAAAGAAAATTGACAACAACAAAAAAATGTTTGATATATTGTTTCCGAAACAATTTTTTAATTTTTTAATTTTTTTTTTTTTGATAAACAAGAGTTATTGAATTTTTTATTATCAAGGATATAACCCCCATTCATATTGAGAATAATGGTCACCTATTGATCTCGAGTATTGTCTCCATCAAAATTGTAAACGTGATGGAATTATTTTTGGCTGCATCTGAATTGAAGGGTACAGTGAGGCTTATTGGTCTCACTTTTAGATCTTTTTTTGATAATTTGAATTATTAATATTTTAAAGTTTATTGAGTATATTATCTTTGTAAAAAATCACGTAAATCGGATAACGAATATTATATATTTGAATCATTTTTTTTATGAATCGTTAATTTTCTGACCGTGTATTTTTTTTCAGATAAAAGTGATCCGAATATATAGTATCCGTTATTCGATCGACGTGTTTTTTTTAAAATAATATACTCAACAAATTTTAAAATATGAACGGTTTTGATTATAAAAAATAAGTTCAAAAATAAGTCTAATAAACCGAACTGAATCGGACTATTTCAAATTTAGGCCGGAGAGAGTCCGGTCACGTCATTTTTTTTCCTATTCAAAAAAATGTTAGAGCGGTCTTGGAGGATGTGCTGGCCCCCCTCGTAAATCCTAGTTCATTTTCAAACCCTAAGTATGAACAAATGAAATTAATCAAGTGTTTATTGACTTGTGCTTAACATCGTACAGCATACGTCTCCTCAACTTTTATTCTCATCATAACAAAAAGAAAATGCATTGCCAAAAATAGGAGATATTAATGGGATGTTTAGGTTGTTTTAAATAAATGTATTTTTTATTTTTTTATGAAATATGAGTTGAGTATGAATTAGATTTGAAATGATGTGACTTAAATAAGATGTGACTTAAATAAGATGCTGTGATTTAAATAAGATAGTGACTTTTTGACTTTTTTAAGAGATAACAAACAAGGCATTAGTCTTGTCCCATACTCCCTCCAAAAAAAGAATTATATGTAGATTTTAATAGATAGATTTATTATCTAAAAGGTCCTATAATAAGTAATGATGTTTTTCATCAAACATTATTAAAAAAACGTTATTAATTATTAATTTTTAGTTGCAATTTGAAAAAAAATTACAAAAAATGTCACTAATTATAAGTTTTAGCGACAGTTCAAAAATAATCGTCATAAAAAAAGTCACTATTTTTTAACTATTAGTGACAGTTTAAAAAATTCATCACAGAAAAAGTTAGTAACTGTAAGTTTTAGAGACAATTTATAAAAATTGTGACCAAAAAAAAGTTATTAATTGTTAATTTTTAGTGACATATGCACAAAATATCAATTATTTTTTATAATAATTTTACTAAGGCTTTATGAGAATTAAGTTCAATTATTAGAACCTATTAATAATTTATTTTCAAAAAAGAAAAGAAAAGGGTCAATCAATTTGATTCATGGGCTACAACTCAAAAAGATTAAATTCAATAGACTGTTCACTTTTCCTTTCTTTCTTTTTCTTTTTTTTTTTTTTGTACAAAAAAAATTTATTAATTTTTGTAAGTTTCATTGAAGGTATAAAGATGCTTGAAAAAAATAATTGAACCTCAAGGAAGTTGGGTGGAGGATTCAAGGCATTGATGAGAAGATGAAATTGATCCATTAAACATGTGTTGTGAGAAGGGAATCAAAGTGCTGATGGGTTAGCTAAGTTGGGCGATGACCACCAAAAGCAGCTTGTGGTCACTACGGAGCCCTCAACGGATAATTATTTCATTTAGAGAAGGTGAGTAGATGAAATATTGTCTTGGCTGATTGGGAAATATAAGGGATATATTAAATGATAATTGATTAAGAAGTACAAACATGATATTAAGGAAACATTGAATAATTTTTCATCCCGAACTAAAATTAAGAATCTGTTGAGAGCTGATGTTTCGGGGATGGAGTATCACAGGGATTAACCTGTGATCCTCCCCTATTATTTTGTTGTTTTCATTCCGTTATACCTTAAAAAAAAAAAAAAAAACAACAACAACAACAACAAAAAAGAACCTCAAGTCCTTCCACTCAACCTTTACATGCACAAGCCAATTGGGTTGTTCAAACTTTGTAAATATCTTACACCAATAAATTTATGTGGGAGCCGAATAAGTAGAAGAGTCAGAAGATGCGTACTCCAGAAATTAGATACTATCCGGCTTCATGTTGCGTGATTAGGACGCCGAATACGCTAGGAAGGCCGAATAGACGGAGGTCAGTGGCTCCGAATGAATAAAAGGGGAATGGGATAAAAGTAGGCTCAGGCCCTGAGGCCCAAAAAGTAAGTATAAATACAAGAACTATAGATTTAGAAGGGTATGT